GTTTCTTAGCCTCATGCGTTTTCACGTCATGCATAAGCATGGCATTTGTCTAATATCCGATCGTCATCCCAGCATCATCAGGGATGTAAAAGATCATGCCGGTTGGCAGCCACCATTTGCGTATCATGTGTTTTGTCTACGCCACATCGGAAGCAACTTTAACACTAAGTTCAGAGATGTGGAATTAAAGAAAACCCTGATGAAGCTAGGTACAATCTTCTTTTTAATATGTACAAATTGTATATAATTCATCCTTTTGTATCTAACGCATCATTTTGTATTTCAGGGTACTTGAGTTCAAAGATTCATTTTGATATCAGATTCCAGGATTTTATCGACAGTAACTCTCAAGTAGCTTCATGGATAGATCAGATTCCCAAAGAAAAATGGTGCAGGTCTTACGATGAGGACGGTCGGAGGTTTGGTCACATGACGACTAACTTATCTGAGTGTGTGAATAAGGTCCTGAGGGGTGCACGTAATTTGCCTATAACAGCATTGGTGAAGATGACTCAAAGTAGACTTGTTGAGTATTTCGTCAAGAGACGTGAAAAGATCCAAAAGGCAAAGGCAAAGGGTTGGAGAATTGCAAAAAAAGTTGAGGATATCATCCAAAAAAATGATCAATTAACAGTGAGCCTCCGTGTGCGGGTTTTTGATAGGGACCTGCAGCTATTTGAAATTGAGGATGCCTACAATCAATCAACTCATGATGCAGGTGACATAATGAGGGTGGACTTGCTCAATCGCAAATGTCAATGTGGACAGTTCACATCTAGAAGATTCCCTTGCAGTCATGTCTTAGCGGTGTGCAAGGTAGAAAAGTTGAACCACTATGATTATGTTGATCCTGTGTTCTCAATTGCACAAATTGATAAGGTATATGCTGCTCATTGGTATCCAATGGGCAATGAGTTGTTGATTCCACAAATTGATGGCCCAACCATTATCCCAAATGCATCTTTGGTACGTGCACAAGGAAGACCAAAATCGTCAAGGATACAGAATGAGATGGATTGGGTTGAGTCTCAACCGACAAGCAGTCAGAGTAGATGTAGCCTGTGTAAGCAAATTGGTCACAACAAACGTACATGTCCTATGAGGATTCCCAATACAAGATGAATTGCGGAGGAAGCAGGGGAAGGGCTTAATGTTTTGATGGTTTAACATTATAGGCATTTATGGTTTTATATGCTTGTATTTGATGTCATGATGTTTGTATTTGAATGTAATGACGGTGCTATGTTTGTATTTGATCTCATGATGTTTGTATTTGAATGTAATGACGGTGCTATGTTTGTATTTGATGTCATGATGTTTGTATTTGAATGTAATGACGGTGCTATGTTTGTATTTGATGTCATGATATTTGTATTTGACTCATCTTAGTTTTTTGACTCGGAAATTATGCTCCCTAAGTCACACTCCCTTAGTGGATCAGTGTAGAGTGGAAACCTAGGGCAAAAAACATGTGTAATTCGGATTTGGGGTCCTAAACCAACAATTTAGTCGATTAACCTGTACTGGTTTAATCGACTAAATTGTTGGTTTAGGACCCCAAATCCGAATTACACATGTTTTTTGCCCTAGGTTTCCACTCTACACTGATCCACTAAGGGAGTGTGACTTAGGGAGCATAATTTCCGAGTCAAAAAACCCATGTGGACATTAAATTCCTAAAACCAAGTCGTATGTTGTCATAACGTTTGTTTACGGTTAACAATACAAGATGTAGCCTTTTTGAACACATGTACTGATTTGCTGTGATGTGTTATGGAAATGGAATTATACAATATTGAAATGGAATTAAATTCATTACACAACATAACATAGATCCAAAAAACATAACAATTATGCATTCATTAAAAAAAGTTACATTACATCAACGACTTAAAGGAAATACATGAACAAAACACAATAACATGATGTACACCCTAAATCTACTCGTCATCCCCGTCTGTGTCCGTCTCTGAGTCGTCCTCATCTGACACATGACCCCCATCCCTTGCTGCCTCAGCTACCTGACCACCTCTTGGAAGCTCCAGACGAGCAAGCCTGTCTTCCACACCCTTAAACCTTCCCTGTATGTGTCTAAACCTTTCATTCCCTTTCTTTCTCCATTTTTTATGTGCCAGCGCCATCTTTCCTATCTTCTTTGTCATTGCATTTATGCCCTTCATGACATCACGCAGTGAAAATCCACCTTCAGGTTCAGCTATCTCCTCAACCTCAGCCACATCCTCCTCCTCCTCCTCCTCCTCCACATCTGGCTCAACAATATGGTCATCTTGGGCAACATAAGGAACCTCAACCTGGGGCATACCACTAAACTCCCACACACCCGATCTCGTGTTCTTAGTAATCTTGCACTGCTCCAATAGACGCTTTCCGAACTTGCAATTATAGCCCGTGGTCTTCTTCAACAGCTCAGTCTCCATGGGAACACCAAAGTGAACCAATATCCTCTGTACCAGACAGGCGTATGGAAGATGACCCTTATGTTTGGCCTTAAACATAAACCAACAGATATAGTGCCTCCAGTTCACCATCTGGGCATGTCGGATAGCCCACATAATGGGAATGTCATGTTCCAACACCCTGGAATGATTAAAAGATCGCGGAAACAGAACGTGGGTGAGGACATAGTGTAGTATACGGGACTCCACAGAAAGCAACCCCACCGTATAGTGCAAGTGTTCCCCACGGACTCTTCTCTGCTCCTGCACGGCATCCTCTCGTACATATCCTGGAAGTACTACACCACTATCAGCGTCATACACCACAGTCTGAGAAGAGTCAAAATCATAGCCGAGTATCTCCAACCATGCAGGTGCCGTCATGATGATCTCTATTCCACAGACCCTCGACCTCAGCTCGCCCTGTACGTAGCTGAGGTTATGGTAGAAGGCCCGCACCATAAGCTCTGAATATGGACATAGGGTCTCGGCCAACACCCTCAGATGTGCCGCCTCCAACACCCCCACAATTTCAAATCCCTCCTTATCAAAAAAGGCTGTATCCAAAGATTTTGGAGCACATAACGGCCGGTTCAAATGGTCACGTACGAATGAAGCGTGGACGGCAGGGTCGTCCTCAAACAGATACCCATACGGGAGGTCAACAGTATCAGGCTCTTCGTCTTGTCGCCTTGACGAAGAAGGCCGCTCTTGCCTATGCTTGGTGCGTCTCTCAAGTGACTCATTGCCCTCATCGCTTGGTCTTCTGCGGCTCGTCATTTGTTTAGGGTACCTACAATGAAACATGTCAGCATTTAACTATATGAAACATGTCATGATGGTAATGAAAACTTGCAACATAAGCGCTGTAAACCAAAAGCAAACTTTTGCCCCATACAAACTTTTCAAACAAAAAAATTCACACAATGCAAAAAAATAAACCTTAGTAGATTAGGGTTACAAAACCTACAACAAACGCTTTGATTAGAGTTCACAAATTCGGACAACAAACAAATACAAAAAATTCCTAAACCTAAAACACAATGCAAGTTAAGAAACCTTACCTATCATTCAGATTTCACGATTTGGACCAAATTTGGGGGCAATCCACACGCCTAAAGGAAGGGTTTGGGGCGTTCTTCAGCTGCTCCTGCGGATTTGGGGTTTGGGCCGCCTCCTTAGTCGATTAGGTCATCCTACTCCCCCTCTGCCAAATGAGGGGTTTTTAAAAAACAAATCCGTCGATATTTAGTCGACTAAATATCGATACTTAGTCGACTAAATATCCCAAAAATGTAGTCGATTAAGATGATTTTTTAGTCGACTAAATTTGCGGTAGTCCACTTTATGAAGATTGACCATTTGCTCGACTAAAACAGCAAGGTAGTCGACTAAAAGGGGGCAGGTTGGTGGATAGTTCTTGATCAGGGGCAAATTGGTTATTAATTAATTAATGAGGGGCAAAAGGGTCAAAAAGCCTCATATAATTTTTTAAAATATTATAAATGCATATTATCCTTTCAAATCTTATAAATTTTATTAAAATTCTTTAAAATCCATTTTAACAATGTATTTAAAGTCATTGTTCACCACATGAAAATATCCAAACCTACACCTGCAAACATTCACAAATAATATACAAAAATTTCAACTTTATAAGTGAGTTGGAGAAATAATGGAAAAATAAATATAAATTAAATAACAAAACTTTTACATTGGCATCCTTTGAACAAGCCCTTCTGCAAAGTGGTTGAAAGCTATAGTGACATGCATGTTTTTGTCTTGAGTGTATGAGTCGCTGTGACCCAACAGCATAACCTTGTCGTGCTTGGTAAAGTAATTGTTGGAAATGGTAATTGCAGTGGACGCAAGAACGGCATCGATCAAACCATCAGTGCATTGAGAGAATGAGCAATGGTCAATCCATATGTGGCTTCCTCCTAAGATGGAGATACCATCACCATCCGACACGGTTCTCCACCCGTAGTGGTCTGGTGAGTCCCGCACCATAGCATTCCCACCTGGCTTACAATCATGTATATGTATCCCATGTATTATAACATTGGTCACATATTGTATAGTAATGCATGGACCACCAGCTATATGCACGTTCGCGCCTCTTCCATCAATTGTCTTATGCGAGTTCATGATTAACTCTACCTTCAGTTTAATAGTCATATCTCTTGCGAATATGATCCACAATGGCTCGTCTTGAATCACTGCATGCCGGAGTGTCCCCGGTTTCGGTTTCACCGCGTCATAGTCGCCGGAGTCGGTGACAATATATAACTTACCATTTTTTCCACCAATGGCTTTCTTGCCGAAACCGATTGCACAATCTGCTAGCCTTCTCCTGTTGTAAGCCCAATTGGGGTCACATCTCCAACAATCATCAATGGGGTTGCCAGTCCCACAAGAGCGGGACATCAAATCTGCATTAGCCATATGTTTATGCTTTAGCAAGTTTTAATTAATGTTCTGAGAGTCAAATTTATTTTATAAATGAGTGAAGATTGTCTGAATGTAAATAAGCAAGTATCAGAAAGAAGCAAGTAAAAAAAAGAACAACTTATTCTATTATGACTAAAGGGGATTACAATAGGGTATGACTATGTATTGCCTCTTCTTATCAAAGGATAATAGATAAAAGCCCATGAAATAAGGAATCCCAAAAGGTGATGGTGATCCTTAGCAAAGAATTCTCAAACTCCCCAAACATTACCCTATAGCATTCTAGGAATAGAGACAGCAGCAATAAACCAAGAGCCGGGGGGACAGATATCTTTGCCCAAATTACACTCTTTCCAACTCCTTTCTTCATATTATAGGTAGCTCCTTTGTCATTTGCATCATTAGGCGTAGCCCAAAGTTCTCTAAATTTACTAATAATCTTTTAAGGGCTGCTTAACGGCTGTACTGTCATTTTTCTTTCTTTCATTTTAATTATGAGGAACTATTATTCTCTTTGAAGTGACTTGTTTTTTCGTACAACTTGATTTGCAATAGTCATCATCTTTGCTCATCAAGTTAATTTGAACCTGTGAGTTCTTTAGACTCTGTCTTACTGGTCAATGTGTGTGTGTGTGTGTATTCATCTTACTTACCATTGTAAATACATCAAAAAGATGTAGCTTGAGCTTGATAACACCTGTTCTTTGCCTGCATAGTTCATGTTTTGTATGGCTTGGTTATAGTTGTGTTATTTATTTTTAGAATGCAGAAATTAGCTCAGGAACAAAATGAAAAGATTGAAAAAGTAAATCGTGAAAGGAAATATCATCAGGTAATGACTTTTTATCCACCCTTCTTTCTGTTATTTTTTAAAACTCTGTTAACCTTTTACTTAAAAGGCTTTTTTTAAAAAACTATTGTCAGCAAAATACCGCATATGAGCTTAATGCTTTGTGCATGCAATGGAGGGAGCTCTGTCAGAAAAATATAGACATCAGTGTTGCGTGTACTTCACTTGACACACACATAAAAGAATTGAAAAGAGAAGCAACAGAAAGGTGACAATGCTATGTAAATTTAGTTTTTCTCGGTTGATTCAATATAGTTTTTGTGTTAATTAGTTCTTTTTTTCAGAGGCTGGAACTTGGAAGCTATCACAGAAAATGGCCAATTGTCGAATTCCGAGTTATGAGATTCGTACGTTCTCATCTAGTTTTGTATCCGTAATGAATTTGTTCAGCTTAAACTTGACTTTAATTGCTTCTGTACCTCAATTTTTAGTTTAATATCATGAAAAAAAATTATCCATTTGCTCACGCAAAAAAGAAATAATAACAATAATGATAGAGTGAACTGGTGGAAAGAAAATTTACAAATTTTGCGTCTCATTAACGTGTCGATACGATTTAATCCATAAGTAATAATATATGGGAAAAAAGTATCTAATGTTATTTTAGATAATTTTGTCTAATGTTCATCGAAACGACGTCGTTTTGGGGTTGAAAAATTAAAAAATTAGAATGATAAAGACTATTATATCCTTGACATAAATTAAAATTACAAAACAACCATGATTTTCGTCCTAAAACGACGTCGTTTTGGTGAACATTAGATAAAGTTATCTAAAGTAACTTTAGAAAAAATAAACCCATAATATATATGAGTACAAGTTTATTTGATGTATTAGTTGTACACACACTGATTGCTTGCCATCTTTCTGATTATCCGTGATAACGTTTGCATGATGCTGATATAAATTTTTTGGTTCACTTCATAACAAAATTGTACATTACTCTTCTTTTTTAGTGAAAGGGAAAGAATAGTTCGCTCTCTCCTCTCACCTCACGGCTCGTAGAAAAATGTACATTACTACCAAATAATTACTAATTCAAATCAAAAAATAATTATTTGCATTTATTGGGAGATTGGGGGAATTACAATCGTGATAGGGATTAGTTGGAAATCTCCTGATTTTGTGAGATCTATTCAAATAATTACTAATTTAAATGAAGTGAAACCTCGGATATTGAGTTGCGAATCCAATATGCAGTCAGATCATTTTTCTCTTTCTTTCCACTTACTGGTTGCAAAGTACAATTTGGGATAGTTTGGAGGATATGGTATGATAAAAACATGGAAATCTCCTGATTTTGTGAGATCTATTCAAATAATTACTAATTCGAATTAAGTGAAACCTAGGATATTGAGTTGCGAGTCCAACATGCACATCAGAGCATTTTTCTCTTTCTTTTTGCAAAATACAATTTGGGATGGTTTGAAGGATAAGATATGATATGATAAAAGCATGTATTATGCTATATTTGATGTGGAATAAATAATTAGTATAATAAGATTATATTATCTTATTAGGACGGAACGCAGAAAAGTTATAAATGAATAAAAGTTATAAATAAGGTGAAAGGTTAAACTTGTTGTTATTCCTATGTTGCACATGATTTCTTTTTAGTCTTTTTTCTCTTCAATCTCCCTGTCTCTTTTTTCTCCTTTTTGTCTTTTATCTTATTTCTCCTTTCCCAATTTTTATTTTTATTTATTTATTTATTTATTATTTATTTCATTTTATTTTTTAATCTCTTCTTATTTATCACTGAGTTCATATATCACAAATTTCATTTAGCTTGTATTAAAGGTGTTGTCGATGTTGAGGTTGAAGATTATATTATCTTATTTTCTAAGTCTAAATTAGATAGTGTAAAGGACATGACATAAATAGAGAGGCGGACTATTCTTGTAAGTGTAATAAAAAATTTTATATTAAATTTTGGTCATTAATTTGCTTGTATATAATGACTTGTATATCTAATAAATTAGAATCATTAGATATAAAAATGATCAGCGATTAAAATTTTAAGTATAATTTATACTGATGTAAAATAATCATGACCCATAAATAAAAGTTATCTTTTATGATATAATGTTTTTAAAAATAATTTTTACACTTTTTTCCATGGGTTTTTTTTTTGGAATTATTAAAAAAATTAGTTTTGAAAGAATAAAATATATTAAAATAAATAAAATTACTTAATAAAAAATTTGAAAATAAAAAAATTATATCTTCGCTGAATTTTTAAAAATAAATTTTGAATTGATTTTCAATAGTTATGTATATATCACAAAAAAATAATTAGAATACTGATAACAAAAAGAATTCACAATCACATGCAACATAAAATAATTTAATTTGAATTATAGCTTAAGTTAATTTATTTCATGGATAGAAATAATTATTAGCACATTGTGCACAATATTTGAATACAGATAGTATTTGTTCCTTAGTGAAAGTTTATTACAATTTTGAATGTCATAATAAGATGGCGGTAACAGTGATGCTAACTGGTGGTGTTCCGGTGATTGGTAAAGCTGGCTTTCACATTCTCGGGAAGCTTCGTACGTAATAAACCTAAAATATATTTTGGACTCACTAAACAGTGAATAAGCATCCTATATTATATGCTAATAAATTCCATCAGATCTTCCTTATCATCGTGTCCACCAAACAATTCTATCATGTCCCCGTAATCGTATCCACCAAATGGCTCTTGCAGTTCAAGTTCAACTAGCTCCACCTGACCGTAACTTTAACTTTTATTGGACCTTATATTACTCCAAATACGTGCCTTCTTCAACAATGCAGTAGACTAGGGTCCGTTTGGATTGGACTAGTTTTTTTCTTCTAAAAGTTGCTTTTTATTTCTTGAAAAAAAAACACTTCTTAGTTTTAGTTCATTTGAATGTCTGTTTTTAAAAAAGTTCAAAAATTACTTTTTTCAGAAGCTACAAATTTTAATTTCTAAAAAAACCAGAAATCAATAGTCAAATATTTTTTTCAAAAACTAAATATTTTTATAAAAATATCAATAACTTTAACTTTTGTAAAAAGAACTCCTAAAATAAGAAAGAGATAAAAGCTACTTTTTTTGAAGAAGAAACAAAAGGGCTCTAGGTATATTTCAAACCCAGCAACTTTTTTCTGACCCTAGTGTATAACTTATAACATTCAGTGAGTTAAAAATTACAAATATTTACACTTTTGAATTTATTATAATTTTCATTTTTTAAAAAGCACGAGAATTCAAGTAAAAACGTAATTTTGCAAAATAAAAAATACCTTCAGAATAATGCACATAAGTTAATAAATATGTAAATTGACAATAAATAATTAGTACTTTGCAGTTTGCACTAATCCGATGTACTTAAATTGTGTGCACTAAACAAATAAATTGTTAACATATTATCAATTATAATAGCTAATTATTAATCAATAATGTATTGATATATTCGTGTATAACGCGATCCAAGAACCAATGTTGTTTAATTCAGTTATCAATAAATATCCACTACGACATAAAAAAAATTTATTAATATATATATATATATATGAGAGAGAGAGAGAGTTGGATAAAAAAAATAATAACAAATATTTAATTTATTCATGAACCGTTGAGATTTTGGTCTCATGATACATTTCTTATACATTATAAAAAATTTGGACATATTTTGATTGAGCATTTCTTTATCTCCTACTCGTATATCAAAAGTTACGTTAATATTATTTATTTATTTGTTTATTTTTAAAAATTTATTCTCATATCCTTTATATCTATGATATAACAAATTTTTTATACTATTTTTTTGAAATATTTCAATCGGTTCATTGCTTCGCAACTAATCCGATTCGAGACGAGTTCAGGATTAAGGCTTTAAACTCCTTCAAAAGGTGGTACTGGGGAGATTCGAACTCATACTTTCACCCATGGTGATAGCTCAGTTGACGCATGAGAGCTAAATTTCCTACACTATAAGACTTGTAATCCCCGTAATTTTTATAACATCTATTTTCTATTGGAAACTTAAAATATAAGATTTCTTGGGACTTAAAAACGTAGAGAATTAGCCCCTGTTTAAATACTTTTTATAAAAACAATTTTTGTATTTTCAAAACAAAAAAAAACTTGTAAGATAAAGCCTGTTTTATAAAAAAAAGTTAAAAGTTTTAACTTTTTTTATTTTAGAATCAAATTTAGAGAAAAGTCTCAGTTATTTTTATTTTGTGTTTTGACTTTTAACTTTAAAAAAAAACTTATTTTCATAATTATTTTACGGAACAATTTTATGAAGAAGAAAAATCAGAACACAATCATGGGTCCATGATGTGAACCAAAACATATTGATCACAACAGTTCAATTAGAAAAGTTTATTTATATGAGTTAAGATGTTCTATTTACCTTTTTTTTCTTACCTATTTATCTTCCATACCATTTGATCATAATCTCACTATTTATTTCTCTTCTTAAAATTCTCATCCAATAATAAGATATCTGATATTCAGGCTCACCCTCCATGAATGCACGGTTCCAATTTGATAGCTAATAAAGTACGTCCCTAGGGAATTGATACTCCATAAATAGCAGTAAGTTTGAGTGGGAGAGTGACCATTTTGTCACGTTTGGACAAAAAAATTACCAAACTGCTACATTAACAGTAAATTTTGTCAAAATGTCACGCAGCATAATTCGCTACACAGTGTAGCGAATTATGTATGCAAGTAATTCGTTACACAGTGTAGCGAAATATGCCACGTCAGAACCAAAAATGCCACATGTCAAATTTTGCAAAATTCGCTACCCTATGTAGCGAATTTTGCAAAATTTGACATGTGTCATTTTTGGTTCTGTGCGTTCTGACGTGGCATATTTCGCTACACTGTGTAACGAATTACTTGCATGCATAATTCACTACACTGAGTAGCGAATTATGCCGCGTGGCATTTTGACAAAATTTACTGTTGGCGTGGCAGTCTGGTAATTTTTTTGTCCAAACGTGACACTTTGGTCACTCTCCCAGTTTGAGATCCTGGCAGAGAAATCGAGGATGGGATATTAAATGAAACTTACACAAAACAAATATATATAACTTTAAAACAAGTTAAATTTTCAAGGTGGAAAAAAGAAAAAAAAGGAAGGTGCAGAGCTCCCTGCAAGCCAAATTTGGGTCATACTAGAGATAATGAAGCTCCCAAACTATGGAAGCCACAGATCTACCATATAACTACATTATGGGTAGAACTGCTCCACCTCCTAACCCTTTTGACTTAATTCATAAGATCGAAACCATAACATTTCATGCAACATCTATAATTTATGTTGCACCGACACCGACACGGGACACGGGATATGACACGACACTCCGACATGTTAATTCTAAAAATTGTTAAATTTTGACACGTTAGGACACGTTTTGATATTATATAATATTTTTAATTTATGTAGTGTATATTATATTTAATATTCAATAATTT